AACAACTTAACCGTGATCTGCACTCTCCTTCGGTTTTACTTCATATAACGGTGCATGCAAAAACGAAAAACTACTGAAGGCATAAACCTGTACGATAAATTGGCTTGGTTCACGCAATAAAAAATTTAATCCCGCAACCTATCTTTGCAATAATTGGCTCGGCTCAAGAATGGCTCAAGAATGAGTTCGAAATCGAGTAAGTGCAAGAAAACAAGCCTTTTTTCAGAAAATGCCAGAAGTGATTAACATGTAACTTCTCCCTATGATATCCATATATTATCTAGCAAACAGGTAATGAGAATTTAACACTTAGTACTACAAATCTAACACCAAATTCTCGTAACTAATTAACTAGGAAATGTGTATCAACTAGAGGGGAGAATTTACAATCAGATCTTGAGAGTAAAAAGGTTCAGGCAATTAAACCCACAAACCAAAGGTATAGGAAGCAATATATTCCCAGCGAGCAACCTATCAACAAATTCTTTATTCAATGCGATTCTATTTACAACAATCGTTTTATTTTACTCACATTGAGCTATAACAGTTCAAGTACTTTGTAACTCTCGTTGACCCAGAAAAAAAGATCTACAAAAGTTACTTTGAGTACCTATAATAATAAACTATCAAGTCCACAAAAACTATTAACGTTTTCAGGCTTCAAGCTGCTTTCACGACAGCCTTTTACCATAAAGTTCTACTATGATCAGTAATGATTCAAAATATTTTGTTTCCAACCATTTCGTAACTGTTCCTTTTTTAAGATTTAGCTTAAAATTAAGATCATTAAAATAAATTGGCGAGATCTCTAGTAAGCTAAAGATGTAGATTAGTTTGACGCTGCTTCCCACTTTTACAGAAAGTGCTTTAAATAGCTATACTTCTAAATTTTAAGTTCAAAACCTGGTCTGTATTTCTCCACTATGGCTTGAACAGATTTTTTGTTCACTCACTAATACCAAATGTACTCAGAATATTTAGACTGGTTAGCGTACAGTTTGGATTCTGTAACGCTTCACGTTGACTGGCAACACCGGTATCAGTGATCTCGTTACCCCTTAGATCTAGTGTGGTTAGCTTACAGCTTGGATGCTGTAAAGCTTCACATAGACTGGCAACACCGGTATCAGTGATCTCAGTACCACACTGATTTAGTGTGGTCAGCTTACAGCTTGGATGCTGTAAAGCTTCACATAGACTGGAAACACCGGTATCAGTGATCTTATTATAACTCAGATCTAGTGTGGTTAGATTACAGCTTGAATGCTGTAAACCTTCACATAGACTGGCAACACCGGTATCAGTGATCTTATTATGCTTCAGACTTAGTGTGGTTAGCTTACAGCTTGAATGCTGTAAAGCTTCAGATAGACTGGTAGCACCGGTATCAGTGATCTTATCACTCAACAGATTTAGTGTGGTTAGCTTACAGCTTGGATGCTGTAAAGCTTCACATAGACTGGCAACACCGGTATCAGTGATATTTTCCCACAGATTTAGTGTGGTTAGCTTACAGCTTGCATGCTGTAAAGCTTCACATAGACTGGCAACACCGGTATCAGTGACTGATCCTTCTATCATCAATGTTCCTCCTATAGTCAATTCAGACACAAGAGAGTGTTCATTGATCAGTGAATTACAGACTCGTTGCATTCCAGACATTGTTAGGTGGGATTCTATAAGCCTCAACTCCCTAACTGAGACGAACTTATCAGAACATTTGTGTTGTGTCTCTCCAGCTTCCTCTTTATTTAGTTCACTGATAATGTCCAATACAAATGATAATGCAATGCTGTCTGTATCTGATAAATCATTAAAATACATGTAGCCGTCTGAACTACTGAACGCTTGCGGATGATTCCAGATAAACGTTTTAGCGAATTCTTTGTCTTGATACTCACTCAGACACTTTGCTCTGAGAAGTCCAGTATCATTCTCTGAAACTTGACTACTGGTCAACAACTTTTCCATCAGTTCCTCTTTTCCCTCACTTGACAAAATGCCAGCCATG